AAACAAGGGGACTTTGAGCCCCGCTTGCATTCAATACATATAGCAGCTATTCAGCTGTTTTACAGCAGTTATTCAGCTGTTTTACAGCAGTTATTCAGCTGTTTTACAGCAGTTATTCAGCTGTTTTACAGCAGCTATTCAGCTGTTTTTCAGCAGTTATTCAGCTGTTTTACAGCAGCTATTCAGCTGGGTTTTTTTAGCAGTTATTCAGCAGTTATTCAGCTGTTTTACAGAAGTTATTCAGCTGTTTTACAGAAGTTATTCAGCTGTTTTACAGAAGTTATTCAGCTGTTTTACAGAAGTTATTCAGTCCTGTCTCCATCTGAAGTGCTGTAAATATTAGAAACTCTGCAGCATCTAAAATAAAGGAGCATAAATTCAGAACACGTCAAAATAATCWGATTTTTGATGTAAMTGTCTAAAAACAGGAGAACCACCAACAKGAAGGAAACAATCTGTTAATCTGGCAGGTTTGAGTCAGAGTTTGGGTCGGATCGGYACCAGTAGAACCTGCAGCTCTGTGCGTTAGAGACCAGTGAGCGGAGGTGAGATGAAGAGGAGGTCATGTTTGGTGTCAGACCTGTAGGAAAACTCCTCCGATAAAAGAGGAAACTTTTAAAACATTCAATTCTTCACAGGTCAGAACCCGGCTGAAATTGCTTTTTTATGCTTGATTTGAAAGTTAAATCTGAGCTAGAATATTTTCATATAAAAAGGATGAAATAAAAAACAAACTAATTTCTCTTCCTTCTACCAAGAAACATTCTCATAAACCTTTTTGAAAGATTATCTCTGAGACCCTTTTCGAAGATAAAAGCTCCTCTCCTCTTAAAACCTTGTTTCAAGCTTTGATGACGTGGTGAAGGAGAGGCACAAAGTTCCTGTCATGAATCCCTGCGCCGACCTCCTGAAGGTACAACAATCAGCATCTTCATAAAGACGCAACAAAACGAGTCAAATCAGAAAAATGATCCCTTCAGGCTCCTCTGGATCCTCAGGCAACATGAATTCTCTGTAGGCAAAAAGAAAAACTTGCTTTTTTTTGTTGTTGTTCAAGAAAAACTAGTTGTTGAGCAGAAGAAATGGAAGCAGAGGGAGATGGAGAGGGAAGGATGATAAAGAAAAACGATGGAAAAGGGGGCGGGGCATGTATTTTTCCACCATTCAAAGTGCTACAGTACGTCTTCCGTCCTCTCCTGTCCTCAGAAACACAGTGCTGCACCGTGCTGATAAAAGTCAACATAAATTCTCTTTCACTAGTTTTACTCTTCAGAAGTCTTTCGCCTCGTCGGCTCGGACACAGTTGTTGGTTCTGGATACACAGTAATGCGGTCTTGAAGGTTTTGCATTAATCCTCCTTCCTCTCCAGAGCGGTCTGCGTGCTGTGGATGCCGTTGCTGTACACCGGGAACGGCAGCGTGGAGAACAGCCCCTCGGCCGTGGTGAAGACGTTGGCCGCCGCCGGCATCTGGCCTCCTAAGGTGCCGTTGCCCCCGGCGGGTGCCGCGGACCCCACAAACGGGCCGGCGGCTGCCGCGGCCGTCATGTTGAGCCGGTGCACGTGGTGGTACAGCATCTCCATGGGCGTCTTGGGGTCCAGACCGAACCCCGAGCTGTCCACGAAGTTCATGGCGGCGTTGGGGAGGAGGTTCCCCTGCGCCATGGCCAGAGTGACGTCCGCCGGCGCGTACCTGATGGTCCCGGTCGTGTAGACCCGCGGAGCCGTGCTGCTGCTGGGAGCCAGGGTCCCGGTGACCCGGTGGACCAGCGGCAGGACCACGTTACCCGCCTGCAAACGCTGGAGCGCCTCGATGTCCCCGGAGTACAGCAGGGATGAGGAAGAGCTGGTTAAGGATGAAGACGAGGAGGTGGAAGAAGACGAGGAGGAGGAGGTGGTGGGAGTGCCTTGTTGTTTGTCCCGCGGGGAGGCGGACAGAGGAGGGGACAGGGGGTCTGCGGAGGAGGAGTTGGAAGGAGGCGGAGCTAAACTGGTAGCGCTGGAAGAGGACGACGGCGCAGAGCTTCCATTGTAAGCAGGCTTCCTCGGCCCTCCTGCCCCCCCCTCAGTCCCAGGGGGGGTGAGGACGGAGTCAGGGATGACCACATGGAGGGACCCTCCCTGCGGTGAAGGGAAGGTCTCGTGCCCCCCGCCGGCCGGAGGTTTGGAGGTCATGCTGTAGGGGGACTCGTTCCTGGAGATCTCTCTGTTGGGGGGGTAGTTCCAGATGCTGCTGTCGTTGTCGAAGTTGATGGGTTCTGCCATCTCCGTCTTGATCTTCAGGACCGAGGACGTTGCACCTGTGCTGTCGGGGGATCCAGGGGGCAGGAGGTGGGCGGAGGTGGTCTCTGAGGGGTCGGCAGGGGGAGTGAGGTCCTCTGAAGGGCTGGGGGGAGAGGTGGTCAGACGGAGCCTCCTGCTTCGTGAGCCGTCCCACTTCTGGACTTTTCTCCTCTTCCGCCGTTTGTGGAGCGAACTGCCGGCACTACCACTGTCACAGTCCTGGACTCCGCCCCCTTCTTCYTCCTCCTCCTCMTCMTCCTCYTCCTCCTCCTCCTCCTCTGAGGAGGAGGTGTGTGAGTTGTGCAGCTGGAGCTCCTCACCATCTCTATAGTGTTCAACCTTAATATGAAGACCACCCAAAGTGCCCAGTCCACCCATGGCACCCAGACCCTCTAGTCCTCCCAGTCCTGCTAATCTCCCCAACCTCCCTCCACCTCCTCCTCCTCCTCCTGTGGTGACCTCCTGCTCTCCGTCTGACGGCTCCAGACTGTCCTCACTGTCCTGGCTCTCTGGGTTACTGGAACTGTCTCCCTCTTCGTGACGTTTCATCTCCTGTTCTGAGGAGCAGTGGGACTGTCCGGGCTGCTGCTGTTTCCTGTCCGGGTCCTCGCCGTGGTCCACGTGTTGGGCAGACTTCCCCTCAGACTTCTCATTATCTGACAAACAAACAAAAGAAGATTAAAAATAGAAATTTTTTTTATAAAAACCACGTTTGGCTCTAAAGATGGAGAGCTTCTGTTTGTTCATTTCAGCAGCTTCACTTTGAAAAAAAAAACTTGTTTTTAATTTGATTCGAAGTAAAAACGTCACAAAATATTAAATTATTGAAGGTAAACAAAAAGAAAAACTTGTTTTAAATAATTCTAAAATATAAAAGTGAAAAAAGATGTATGCATATGTTTTCACCCCCTTTTTGCTTTAAACCACGTGTCAAACTCAAGTGGCCCGCAGGCCTTCASTTTGACACGTGGTTGACTCCCGTCTGGCTCGCTGATAAATCAATATGAAATTTGTTTTTTTTATATCAAAAGTAAACTTTAAATTTATGATTAAATCAACAAAATAAATTAATTTAAACGGTGAAAATAATAAGATTTTTGGTCAACCGTAGCACAGAAACAGCTGCACTGATCCACATGAAATGAGTCATGACTGTAGATGAGTCTGACCTACACTGGACCAGCCAACGGTTTTATGATGGACCCCATGTTTGAGGAGGGGGCTCCTTTCAAAGAGGGGGTGTCAGGACATACAAAAATGGTTATTGCTCAAAAACTATTAAACATAGGAGCTTCAGATTTCTTTTGTTGTTTAGCTCTGATGAGGGGCTGTCCATCAGGTCAAACAATGCCTCTCCCCAAAAAAAAAAAAGACCCCCCACCCAAACCACTACAATTTATGCACCTAGTAGAGTGACATTTATTAGGAATAAAGACTTCTGAGTTCTGGTACATTTGTGCGTGCGGGGGTCATTGTGTTACCACTGTGCGGTGTGTAGTTGTGGTTTTGTGGTAGTTGTGGATTGCTGTACAGAACTTTGGTGCAGCTTTTAGCTGTTTTTAAAAAAGTGTTTTATAAATAAAGTTGACATTGACCAAGAAAACCCTGATGGACCTGGGAGATGGTCCTACCGGTCCTCAGTGGACAGGAAGAAGATATCAAACATGTGGAGGAAGGTTCTGGTCAGGCTGAGGACACCAGAACCACAAGTGAAGACGGTTTAACTTTGGGTTTTTATTCAGAGTAATGAGGCCTGACTCAGGTTCTGACCTCTAGCTGGTCCAGGCAGATGGCCACTGGTTCTGGTTCTGGTGGAGCTCTCTTCCTGGTAAAGGTTAGTCATTGTTTTGGTCATTACTTATCTGAAGTACCACCTGATCAATGAAACTCAGGTCTTCTAGTCATTTTACAGGTTTTCTACGTGTTTGATGTATTTTTGATGTGGACCTGATGATGATGATGATGATGATGATGATGAGGATGATGAGGATGAGGATGATGAGGATGATGTGCTCAGTATCTTGTTGGTTGTGTCTCTTAAACTCTGCCAGCACAAAGCAAAGACAAAGTGTCCAGCTGGCAGCATCCAGAGCCTGTCACAGCACCTGGACCATCGACTCATTACTTCCTCAGGAGGAAAACTGGCTCCTCGTCATTAACTCAACTTCCCAARCAAAACTGATGAAGACAAAGTTTTTCTTTTTAAAACAAGAGGAAGTTGTGTTTAATTAAGACAACTGTAAGTCTGTAACGCAGAGCTTGGATTTCCCCAGATAAAGAGCAGAACATGAAGTTTAAAGGAAAAAGTCATGTTAAATAATCTCAGATTTTTGATTGATGTCACCAAGTGAGAACAGGAGCAGATCTCTATAATCCTGTGTTTTCTAAGCTAACAGGGCAGATTACATCCTAAGTGAGGAAAGGTCAAAGGGCAGCTGTCTCATTTTTCCAACATGTTGAGTTGGAGCACCGTGGGCCCGTTGGACCCTGGCTGCTCCTGCTGCAGCTGGCAGCAGGTTTCAGCCCACAGAGTGCCAGAATCACTATCCTCCAGCAGAAATACCAGCTGGCAGAGAGTCGCATCGTGCCAGCACAGGCTGCAGGGCTTCAGATTATTCTCTAGGTGGAGGTCCTGCCTTGGTTTTAATTCAGTTATAATGTCTAAACTAGAACCAGTCAGCTTTGGCTGCAGCTACAAACCGTTTCCCTTCATTTGACATTCATGTTGAAAGTGTAACTTTTGTTTTCATTCACATGGAGGCACAGATTTCTGCTTGTGTCTGTAGCATGCTGAGGTTTTATGGGCTGTATGTTTCATTAACTTTACAGAAGAGACAGTTTTCAAACACTCATTTATATGAATTTTTTTATTTTTATTTAAGTTCAAATCTGTAATAATTACACCATTGATGGTAACTGGTCCTAGTGGTGGTCCAGGGTTTTAGTTAAAGAAACTGCAGTCTTATCGTAATAATACTGGGATTACAGGAACAGCTCTGAAATGGTTTGAGTCTTATTTAACTGATAGATTTTAGTTAGTTAATGTTAATAATGAATCTTCTTCTTACACCAGAGTTAGTCATGGAGTTCCTCAGGGTTCAGTGCTTGGACCAATCCTCTTCACTTTATATATGCTTCCTTTAGGTAAAGTTATTAAACAGCATGGGATACATTAGTCATTAGACAGTTGGTCTAAATATTTCTGAACATTAATATATATTTTTAATTTAATCATGCTGTGAGT